CCCCCCCCCGAAAGTTTTCTGCGGGCGCCCATGTATGCGTATACTGATTAAGCTAAGTAACTAAGTATATTACTTATACTACAATTGTGTATATACTTTATACTGCATAATATTTAGTATAGTAATAGGCTATTACTATTATACTACCGGTATACAGATATTACCATACTAATATTAGTAATAAATTTGCCCTTTTTTTTATAATTGAGAGTGAAAAAAATTCGATAATAACTCATGACGGTTCAGTATACTAATAGTAATATTAATATTAATAATAATAATAATAATGAAGTTCATTTCAAAAACACGCTTCAGCCCCAAAGGCTCGAAGCGCGGTACAATGTCAACAAAAAACAAATCTATAATTTACCACATTTAAAACAAACGCAACACTACAAAAACTAATTACTAGCATACAATTGCAAAGTCTTTCTAGCCATTTCAACCCCAATATTAATAGCCTACATCCAACAATAATTTTTCACCAGTCTAGATCTAATGCATTATATGATTATTCGCAGATTTCGGTCTGCCGATAACGCTAAACATTATTCACAAGAGCTGTGTGAATAACGCTCGCCGTTATTCACAGATTTCGGTCTGCCGATAACGCTAAACGTTATTCACAGAGCTGTGTGAATAACGCTTCCCATAAAAAAAATGAATCATTTTTTGATCATTGATTGAATAAAGTATTTCTTTTATTTAGTACTTAGTCTTAGTGGCTCAGTCATAACTTAGGCTCAGTCATAACTTAGTCTTAGTTGTACTTCTTAGTTAACTTAGTCTTGAGTCTTACTTTTACGCTCTTACTAATACTAATAATAAAAACTAACTACTAACTTAGCTTCCTGAGAAGACTGTAGTGTAGCGACACTAGTACTAGCTAGGCCAACATAAAAATTTACAATAGGCCCTAAACATAATTATAAGAATTAAGATTTTTATTTTGCCCTTACAATTACATTACTGTTATCTCTCTCATAAGTTTTTAATATTAAAACATACGTTGTCAGCCTCCGTTTGTTTATTGTCGCCATTTTGGATTATAGAGTTAAGTCCCCTGTGAAAGAAAGGCGTAACTAAAATCCAAAAGATACCAATTGCCTTTTTTTATCTTAAAAGGAGTTTCACTTGCCCCTCATTAAATAACAGCTCAAAGAAACTCAATCGCCTAAAATTGTATCATGTATTTTACCTATCGTAACAGAGGTGCATACGTATGTCATAATTTATTTTATGTATTTTGATTTTTTTTTTTTTAAATTAATTAAAAAGAATTGGAGGAAAAGACGTTTTGTTCCTTTATATTTTATTTACGCTTCACCAATATCAGAGCTTTTAGCTGAAATTGAAATGTCTGTCTGCTGTTATGTTTCTTCTTTACTCAGGTTTCCACTACCCTGCCTGCTATATTTTTCTTACACACTTGCTACTAGTTGCAACAAACTTTTTACAGCTAATTTTAAGAATATAGCAACAAAATATAAAATCCAAAGAATCAACCATGCAGTGTCAGGTACCAGTATAATAGCTAGTTGCATACAAACTGGCAGAAAATTAAGCAGAAGTTTTATGTTTATTTTTTTAAATGCTAATTTGATTTAAATAATAAACTAAGGCGACTTCAAGAAATTGGTAATTTAAAATCATCTGCAAGGCGCATGTTTTAAAAACATCTATCTTTGAAAAGATTAGTTTTAATATTCAAGAAATGGTTCATTTTGTATGCTAGTTAACAAACTAGTTAGCCTATGTTAGCAGTACACGAGTACAAGGTAGGACTGAGGTTTTTAACTTCATGTGTTCAAAAGGACATTAAATTTCACCATGAACCAAACAAACACACAGGCAACCGTACAATATAAAACACAAGAGAGGTAATTTTGATTTTTTTAAAAATTGTTTTCAATATTTACATAAATAAAATTAATTTATTAAAATCAACAGCAGCATATCAAATGCCCATCAAATCAAAACATATCATTGAGTATATCATGTACTGTTACGAATGGTGTGATGCTTCAAAATTGTTTCAACCGTTAAAAAGAGATAAAGCATTGTACTCATATCAATTAAAGTTAAATTTTTACTTCTTTTTAAACTCTTATTATTTACAGCTAGCAAAATGACATAATTTACAAGGGCTGGTTATTTCAAACTGTTTATAATCCATTTTATTTTGTCAATAATTTTAGCTATTAACAAGACTTTTGTATCAGTTTATATAACACAATATGTTCCTGTGTACAAAAAATCCTAATATATAATTGTTTATTAAAATTTAAGCATGGCTTGCCAGAACATTGAAAAAATGATACACCTCATCTTTGTCGATGACACCAACAACGGTGTTACATTCATTACATTTGACAGGGTTGAATGAATCTTTGGAAGAATGTTGACCTGATGATAATGCCTTTCCAGGCTCAAGCGATTTCTTCTTTTTCTTTTTCTGTGCTTGCTCAGGGAACTCAAGTGTTTCTGAGTGGTCAACAGTACAGTTCATGACAAACATGGCTCTGTATTGGTGCTTGTAAGTCTCATGTCTTCAAAAAGAATATTAATATAATGATTATTAGTAGGGGGGTTGGACTGGGACAAAAGCTTCGGTTGCTTAAAAGACACAAACCATGTGTGCATATATGTAAGGTTAAAATGGATGTAAATAAGCCAAGAACAATTATATAAGGAAAAAAAATATATAGGCACAAGGGCTATGTTGTACACTTCTTTATTTAGTAAATAGTAGATAACTACTAGTTGCATCTAGTAAATAACTTTTTTCCAGATGAATCAGGCAAAATAGATTACAAAAACAACCCCCCCCCCCCCCCCAAAAAAAAAGGAAATTTCATTTATGAAGTTATTAATGACAATTTTTTGGGAGACTAAGATGAACCCTAAAATCTTTAATAAACAAATATTCAAACTTTATAATGATGCATTTATCAACACAACATTGTCAGGAAGACAGTAAATTTAAAGACATTATCTCCAAGAATCTTCATTGAAATGTCAGTTCATTGTAAAAAAACTTAAACTTTTTAATCTTTCAATTTAATTGCTATGAAAAAGCAAGATACTTAAAATGGGAAATTCATGGATATATATACGGCAGAAAATTTCAGTAATCAGTGTAAAAAGAATGTATAAAATTGGATGATAAACCATTGCTTTCCTTTCCTAACATGAATGCTTACCATAATAGAAAGGGTTCTTAATAGCACAAGACAGCATAAGGGAGATAATTCATTACTATTTTTATTTTTGCCATATTATGAAAATACAATATATATAGGAAAAAAATCTACCCGCAGCTATGGCATCATGTGGATGTGACGTCTTTTATCAATCAAAGGAAACATTGTGAATTAATTGAAATCAAACTCATAATAAAAATAATTAACCTATTTTATAAGAAAAAGCGTATTAAAGTAATGCACACAATTGAGAAATTTGCAGGAAAAAGTTACTGACCTCTGACAGTCTAAACACAGAGTGGTCATGCATGCAGGACAGTCAAGCAAGGCATCACTGTTAGGTACTTTAGACTTCTTCCCTTGTTGACCACCTTGTTGACTATGATTACGCTGTCTATCAACCCACTTCTGATCTTCATCGTCCATATTTGGGTCATACAAGAGATCATCATTTGATATTACAGCCCGTTTTTTTTTCTCTGTAAAAAAATAAGTATTGTATTAAATGATTCAATAAATAAAAGATATACTCTGTGCAAAATCCCTGTTTTGAGTATACAGCTTTTGGAAATATTTTTCATATAAAAAAAATACAGTTAAGTGTTATTAAAAAAGTTATAAGTTTTAACATTAATAAATTACTATTCAAACTTAAAGTTTATGGTATAGTGGTCATTAAGTTAAATATACTGACTTGATAATTTTGTTTCTGTGATATCTTCTTCATCAGACTCAGAGTCAAAGTAAATCTCATCATAAAACTCAGTTTCAGGTATGGCGTTAGACACAGGGATATTAGATGGTAATGCTGGAAAAGATTCTGAGATCTTAAGAGAATCTTTGTCTTCAATTTCTTGTTTTCCTGGTATAAATATATCAAAATATGGTATAATCAGTGTCTAAAAGAAAATATGAAAAATGATTTTTTTTTTTATTAATTTATTTCTAGAACAAACTGGCACAATGAGCGGCCACTTTTCTTTAAAACTCCACCAAGACCTGGAAAGATAAAAAAAAATACTGATATTATTAGCCATTACCTCTTGAGTCTTCAAGCATTTTTACATGCTTATTAAGCTCTGCATTCATTTCTCTTTCAAATTCATCTTCACTAGAGGACTTAGATTCATGTTTCCCACTTGTATTGCCTCTACTTTGCTGTTGTTTCTTGTGGAAATGTTGAAGTTTCCGCTTTTGCTCAGGGGTGCCATGGAGAATAATGTTGATTTCATCTTCAGAGCTATATTATTAAAAAACAACTTAAATTAGAGCAAATTGATAAAGCAGAGAATTATTTTTTTGTATTTATATAGAGACTGAATATTTGTTAAAAAACACCAGAAAATTTATGAATAATCCATGGTACATCCTCTCACCTACCCACACTTTCATTTCTTTTAATTATTCTTTACAAAGAAATTAACTAGATACATAAAGAAAATAGAAGAAAGACATGACCAAACAAATCATTGTTACAATGGACTCAATCCTTGCTTTAATGTAACTCATAGTAGTAGGCTGGGCTACAAAGTGGCACACATGGAAAGAAAATCCACATTTTTTACCTCACTGTATAACCAGGACAATCATCTCATTCCTATGAACACAAGACACTACTGTCCCCAGGTACCATGATATTCTATAAACGCTACTATTTACCAAGCTACTACTTATGACAGATCTCTAACTGAGAGTGAATTATCAATTGTAGACTTGCAACAACACATGACTGTGTCATTACAAAATATGACATACTTAAATGAAGTGGATGAGAATTACTATTTATAGTTAGTAGAAGGCAGCAGTATGAGAGAATTATAAATCTCATTAACAATGCAGTAATTTGAATACCTATACATTATTTGGCCCAACTATGGTTGCTGCCTATTATCCAACTTATTTACTATAGGGAATATAATGTAAAAAATTCTACTTGTGCACAACACTGTTATCTTCAACGGTGCAGTCTTTGTGGGTTTCCCAGTCAGTAACGGATTGAAACAATGCTGTGTTCTTACACCAACCTCTTCTCCATGCTCCTTCAGTATCAATTTTTAAGGGAATTTTAAGACAGAGTATTTATCCATATCAGGTCTGATGGCAGGCTGTTCTATATTGCCCACACTTAATGCAAAGACCAAGGTAAAATTTCAAGCCAATTCATGAACTGCTGTTCCCAAATTGCACATCAGTCTAAAGAAAACCTACACACTGGATGGCAGCAAATGCGTTGTAAGGACATGTGTAAAAAGAAAAAAAGGGGAAGCCAACATTGAACTTGGTGAATAGTAGGGTATTAATGCTCTGAATGTGGGAATCCAACAGACATAGGATGGGCAAAACAAAGCCCCTGCATCAAAAAGAGCATATTACAAAAGCCAAAGTGAATCAGCAGTCAAGGTTCTCCTGCAAGCAATAAGAATAACAAATGAGAGAGAGAGAGTAGAAAGTCTTAGAAAGATAAGTAAGTAGTCTACTGTAAGACTAGGTTTAGAAGGCTTTGATTCAGAGACTCATATTCAGACTGAGTTAAATAAGAGCTGAAATGAGATATGATAATGATAGTATTGATAGATAGTGATACCATAGGCATAAGCATACTATATCAGGATATTTATTTAAAATATAATTAATATAATACTACTAAAAATTAAAAATCATTAATTTTCAGTAAGCACTAAATGAGTAGTCAGTCTGAGAATCAGATACTCTGATTCTAATTAATAACTCTGACTCTGAGAATCTCAGTGAGAGTGAGATACACTACATGACTACATATACTCATATACTATATAATATATACTCTACTCTTTTCAAGACACACTCTTCTAGTCTAGTGAATCAACTAGTGATAGACCTGAAATGATGAGACATTCAATCATTGTGATTTGTGAGACTAAGTTACAGTGAATTCTTCAATTCAATACTTGTCAGTTGTCAGACAATTGCAATAGTAATAGTAATATATAGTTAATAATATTAATAGGATGATACTAACCTCGTTCCATCTTCATCTGAAAAACTTTCGTCTCCTTCATCTTCAAATAAATCATAACCTTTTTCACTTGCGTAGAGTGACATCTTATAAACCTTTTATAAAAATATATTTAAACAATGAATTTAAATATTAAATCAATGATTGTCATTCGTTTTAGTGACGCGTTTGATGCTTATTTTCCTTGTTTCACTTTGTGAGCATTGGTCGAATAGTCCACTTGCCGTTTTAGAAAACATACCAAGATAGATATATATTTGTAGTTACGGGAAGGAATACAATTAAAATATACTTTTATCATAAATATCTTGAAAACTTGGAGATGCTTTCCATTAAGCCTAAGTTATTCATTATTAAAAAATATCAGTCTTTTTAAAGTTTCAATAATTTTTTGGACAATCAATGTTATTAGTAAAGCAAAAAAAGAAAAAAGGACTATTCAAAATGAATTGTAGCTGCGTTACTTAGACTAACTAAAAACATAGGAAATCCTTGCATTTAAAAATAGACAAACCAATCAACGCAAACCTTAGATCGGTGCATAGGAAAAGGGCTCTGTCAGTCACGCAGAAAATTTCCTGTGGAGTAGTCAAAAGTTGGTGAGCTGTTTTTACTCTCATCAAAATGGGATAGTAATTTCTAAAATCTTCAAATATGGATAACTTACGACCAGCTAGAAAAATTCTCCGTTCTCCATCTGTAAAAAGAAAAAGTAAAGCTTTACCAGTAAACCAAAGGGTAAGCCAATTCTATTATGTTTTTCCTTGTCGTTCTCTGGAGTCACGTCACTTTTTGATCCGTAGAGCCGTAGAATCAGTTTAGTTTAAGTTTTAGTTTAAATAAGTTATAGCTTAGACTTATATTCTAACTTTACTGTCACTCAGGTCTACAAAAGAATTGTTAAAGTTTGTTATGGGCTCTTTAAGCCATTTTCTCGAAACTCGAATGACACAAGTTCCGTGATCGTGGACTGAAATTGAAATGAAAATGTATAAAATCATCATATGATATACTTATACTACTACTGAACTGACAGTACTGAATATCTTAATCTTACTGTCTAACATATTTAAATTTGTCTTCCACTTTTCTTGCTAACACACCTGGCAGGGTTATCTTCAACTACTGTTCACTATCAGTAGGCAGTAGGCCTATCCTATTACTTATATATATATGTATGATGGTAATCTACCACTTCGACTTCATTGTTGTTATTTAAAAACAGTGTTGTTCCAGTTTGAAGTTGAAGAGCTATATTTTAAAAGTAGGCAAAATGTTATTCTTTTGCTATTGATGTCCATTCATTATTTATAGTTATAGGAAGTGGAGAGAGGGTGCTGTTTTCTTGTTGAAGTGCCAGTCCAACATGCGATTACTTTACAGATTTCAGGAGTGCATTCACTGAGAGATATACAAACTTGATGAAAATATTTTATGGCATTTGACTATGTATGTTATTAGTATTTAGTAGGCCTCTGTCATGGCCAAATGACTATTTCATGAAAATTATTTACGGCTAAGCACGAGCCTATTTTTAGTGTTAGTTTAGTGAATGATCAATGGTATTCTCATCACTATTTTTTCAGTGTTTAATTTCTCCAGTTTAAGTTTAATACAGATTAGTGTAAATCAGATATCCCAAATACTTTGATTTCCCATTGTGTTCAAATGCATTTCTTTTGTTTTATTTCTCATCCTCAATTTTTACCCACATTCTTCCAGCGTAAGTTACAGACTTAAATTATGGACAAGGTATTTCACGTCAAATTAACAGAGTCTGTCCATAAATTTATGGACGGCTGGCAACCATGGACCACAGCTATGATATGGCCTAGAGGCTAGGCCTATTTAAATTAAAATTATGTAGCCTACATGTGTTATTTTACTTGTGTAGAGTAGTTAAGTCATAGTAGACAAGATATTCAGTGTTCATTTTAAGCTAGTAGATTGCATAGTAGGCTACCTGGCATTGACTATGACCACCTTAATCGTCCTAATCCAATATGCTAATTGTGAACTTAGCTGTGGGTGTGCAGATGGCTGATGAGACTGATTCTTACATGAAATGCTCTTGTGCAGTGGATTGGTGGAAGGTCTCCAGGTGGAGAGTTAAAAAACCGGGCTTTTCTGGCATGTTTTTTTTTCACTCTGCAGCCACTGTTCTGTTGGCTTCGTGTTGTATGGAGCCTTTGTGTACAGAGGAACTTCACGATGCTTAGTTCTTTGCTGCTTCTTTCCATATGTCTATATGGAACACTTTCAGTGAATCTTAAGGGTGTCTTTAAAGCATTTCTTCTGACCACCAGCAAATCACCTTCCATGCGTGAGCTCACCATAGAATATTCTTTTGGACAAGCTGTCGTCTAGACATTCACTCAACATGTCCCATTAAAGTGGTAAAGAAGATGCAGGGGAGACCTGCCTGTGCAAGAATTCAGTGTCGGGGACCTTGTCCTGCCATTTGATGTTAAGGATATTTCTGAGACTTGACGCTGATAGACTGCCCCTGTTTCATGGGTATAGAGAAGCGCAGGGAGCACAGCTGCATTGTATACCTTCATTTTAGTTTGACCTCAGTCTTTTTTTGTGTTAATGTTGAGACCGAAGTTTGTGCAGGCATTGTAGAAATTAGTAACACTGCGTTGCATATCTGCTTCTGTTCCAACCCTTAGGGCAAAGTCATCGGCATGTAGAAATTACAGATGATGTCTGTCAGGACTTTGGATTTGTCCTGGAGCCTCTTGAGATTTAATAGTCTACAATCAGTTTGGTGTCTGAGACCAAACATCTCCCTTTCTGAAGGCATCAGTCAGTATGGAGGGAAATATTAGGCTAAAAAGTGTTGGAGGCAGCACAAAACCTTGTTTGACGCCATTTGTTACAGGGAATGGTTTAGATGTCTCTCCATTTTCCTGAACCCTAGCCAGCATACCGTCATGGAATTTCTTTACCATTGAAATGATTTTTCTGGGGCATCCATATTTGGCCATGACCTTCCAAAGACCATATCTACTAACTGTCGAAAGCCTTGGTCAGGTATACAAAGATGGAGAAGAGGTCAACATTCTGTTTATTACATTTTACCTGTAGCTGCCTGGCCGCAAACACCATATTCATAGTTTTGCATTCTTTGCGGAAATCACATTGACTTTCTGGCAGGAGACCCTTGTCAAGATGCTTATTAAGATGGTTTAGAATGAAATAGTGAAACGAGGTATGTGGAAGCTTGAAATAAGGTAACAGGACAAAAAACAAGGACGTTTCGGCATAAAGCCTTCATCAGCCAACAATAGAAATGAAAATACAACAAAGAAAAGAACACAGTAGAAAACTCAAGCAGTATTCATTGGTCTCTCTTTGGCTTCCTGTTTTCCCACTTCCGGAGAGACGAATGAATACTGCTTGAGTTTTCTACTGTGTTCTTTTCTTTGTTGTATTTTCATTTCTATTGTTGGCTGATGAAGGCTTTATGCCGAAACGTCCTTGTTGTTTTCCCACTTCCGGAGAGACGAATGAATACTGCTTGAGTTTTCTACTGTGTTCTTTTCTTTGTTGTATTTTCATTTCTATTGTTGGCTGATGAAGGCTTTATGCCGAAACGTCCTTGTTTTTTGTCCTGTTACCTTATTTCAAGCTTCCACATACCTCGTTTCACTATTTCATTCTTTTACATAGCTTGAAAGCAGTCCCTTCATTTATTTAAGATGGTTTAGCAGCATTCTAGCAAGTATCTTGCGCCTGCACTTCAGAGCAATGATATGCTACAATATTTGTCGCAAGATTGACGGTTTCCTTTACGCTTGTACAGGTGAACAATAGTTGCATCCTTGAAATCCTGTGGAATTGTCTCTTGCTGGCACATAAGTAGGAACGCCTTACATTTGAGTTGTGCAGGCCTGATTTTTATTATTGAGGCCTGATTGCTTTTCCTCTTAATATTTATCTGTTTTTAGGCGGCTCAAAATTGAGCCACTTCCAGAAATTTTCCTCCTCTTCCCAACGAAAAATAAACCACAGAAACAAGTGAGGATTATTCAAATAACTTTCTTTAGTCTAAGTGGAGTAGGATAAAATAAGGACAAATAAAATAATTATAATATTTAAACAATTTGCCCTTGCTGCGGCTCTTGAAATATTTTTTTAAGAAGTTACAATTTCTAAAAATGGCTGCTGACTCAAAGAAGGTTGCAGACCCCTTGCCTAGGTTATTATATTATTTCTTGAACAATCTTTTCAACAGCCAGATGTATCTTAATAATATCAAAGTTGCAGTGCATATAACAATTATTTTCCTATTGTTTTATCATGGCCATATTTTTTTGCAATGAGAAAATTAGGCTTCACATTTTTATTGTTCATCCTTGACTCTAGTTGAACTTCTATTTAGGTACAGCTACAGAGAGTTCTTGGAGTAACAGTTTCATCTAATGCTGGCCTTTCATGTGACTCAAATAATGGGACTATTGCCTATCCCGCTGGGTAAGTTTCCATCTCAAACATTCAGTTGTGTTTATATATTACTTTCATGTTCACCAATTTTATTTGATTATTTCGCTTTGGTTAAAAGTGATTTATACCTTTGCACATAGGACATAGTTGTATTTGCTAATAGGAGAATTAACAGACCAAGAGATACAGAGCTAGAACAGGCAGAGGAAAGTGAGTAGAAATTGGGGAAAGAATAAAGAATCTACTGCTTGTTTTTTGGCATTGACAAAGATAGGAACAGACAGATGTATAGAGATGAATACACCTATGATTTGATAAGTTTTCCTGGAGTATATCCCTTGTCTCATTTTTCCCCTTCTACATTATACTGAGTCTCAAATCCACTTGGAGAAGAGGAACTTTGCACTAATCACTGCTAATACCAAACAGTATCGCATGTGCCAAGAAAAAAACCACACCACCCTCTAACCCAGTGGTCCGCAGATCGCACGCACCTCTTTAGTGACCTGAGTGAGGCTCGGCCAGTCAGCCACAAATCGAGTTTGACTCCAAAAACATGGTTCTTGAGAGGTTCTTGAAAAGAAATTTGGCTCTCAACAAAAAATTTAATCCCCCTGCTGCTGATTTTTGGCTCTTTTGACTGAGTTTGCCCAACACTGCTCTAACCTATTCTGTGACAATTTCTTGGTTTACTCAAAATGAGTGTGTGTGCCCCATTAAAAATCCTATCTTGTTCTGTGAAATAATCTGTGTGAGATTTCATT